CTGCCACCCCTCCTGCTTCTGCCACCCCTCCGTTGCTCATCTTCTCCCCTTTCCTCCAGGGTTTTCCTGGCTTGCAGGGCAGCCGTGGCCACACAGGATCTCCTGGATCAATAGTAAGGAAAAGAAAATCTGTTCCTTTGCATTGTCTTAGGTGGGAAATTGGTGGGGCTTGTGCTACTGGTGGGGGATGTGGGACCTGCCCACCTTGGGAAGTGGCAGAGGATCAGGGCATCTGTAGGACCTGACCTTAAATTCTTGTTACAAGACATAAAAGAAGCCTCAGTGACAAATATCTGGGGGTAGGGAAGAGCAGAATCACTTCCCCAAGGAATCATCCTGCCTGAGGGACTTGGCAGCTTCCCGAGCCTAGCAGGGTCTCCGTGGGGGACAGCAGCCCATGGACACCCTTCACAGCTGGGTGGCTGAATAGCAGCATGGTCCTGGGAGGGGATCAAAGCATTTGCTCCATCCCATGTGGAAATGGGTGGTACAGGTTCAGGGAGGATGTTCCCATGTCTTTGCCATTGGGATGGAGACCCAGAGCAGCTCCTGCAGCTGGAAGAGCTCCTCCCAGAGAGCCTGCTCTCAGCTGGGCTTGGTGATGACCACAAGAGCAAGTATCATCACCTTTCCTGGTGACAGCCCTGCTAGAGAACCAGCCATGGTGTGCTGGTGGACAGGAGCCACCAGGACAGGCCACAGTGGCAGAGTTTGTCCTCAGCAACCCAGTTTGGACCAGATGATGCCTGTCCACCAGCACAGAGGCAGCAGTGGTGGTTTGGTGGGGCTTGTCTCATCTCAGCCTTTTGATTGACACCTTCTTCCCAAATATTTCCAAAGGGCTCTCTGGGAAAACCTGGACCTGATGGAGACCCAGGTCCCCTGGGCCCAAAGGTGAGAGATGGGGGTCCATGAGCATGAGCCAAGGGGGCTTGTTGGAGCAGTGATGGTGCTGAACAGCCCTGAGATATCTTGACTGCCATGAGGAGACCTGGGGGGGATCCCATGGGTGCAGACACGGGCACCAAGGTTGGGAAGATGCCTGCCTGCATCCTGGGAGTGGAGGTTCATTAATGCCTTCATCTCACCTGGCAGGGGCTACCTGGGAAGCCTGGCTTGGAGGGGCTACAAGGACCTGTTGGCACCTATGTAAGTGGTGACCTTGCCCATGGTGGGGGTCTGGGGCTGCTGGGCTGGGGGATGCTCACTGGAGCAGCGCAGGGTCCTGTCTTTCCCTGGGCAAGACCTCAGCCTCAGCAGCCACCTTCTCCCAAAACCCTGGAGATGCTGGGTGGCCCTGGCTGCCTGCTAATGCCATGCTCTCTCCAGGGCTACCCAGGACCTGCTGGTGACCGTGGGAGGCCGGGACACAGGGGTGACAAGGTAGGGCTGGGAAATCCAGCCCAGTAGCCAAGGGATGTGCTGGGGTGTGGGAGTCCAGGCTTTGGAAACATGGTTGGGTTGGGCTGTTGAACCCAATGGATGGTGTCCATGAATGGTCTCCATCATCAGCCATGCCAGAGGTGGTAGGAGGAGAACGGCTGGAGCTCTGGCTCCCACGTTGGGTGAACAGGTGGTTCTCCAGCATTCAACCTGCCCACGTTCCTGGGGTTTGTTAGAAGATGCCAGGAGCTGTTTGCTCCCCAACCCCCCTTAGAAGGTTATTGCATTAAAACACAGAGATGTTTTAATGTCCCTCTAAAGATGTGCTAGAGATGTCCTTCTCCTAACAGGGAGAAAGGGGAGCCCGAGGTCCTCCAGGATTTCCAGGAAAAGCTGGTCCCAAGGTGAGTGCTGTTTGTAGCCACCCTGGGCAGCTCCAGCCCCCTGGAGAAGCACCGAGTGAATCACCACGATATCTTTGCCACCAGCATCATGGGGCTGAGCTGGGGACAGAGGAACCATCCAGGCTGTGATGTGGGTCTCTAATGGTCCTCTCCTCCCCCAGGCCCTGCCAGGTCCCCCTGGTCCCCGAGGTGCTCCTGGCTCCCAGGTAGGGTTCTTGATGCTCTCCATGCTGCATGGACACCACTGAGGTGGTCCCATGGGATTGTCCAAGCAAAGCCTCACCCTGCTCGGTGTCCCTGGTGCCTCCACCATCACCACGTTGCTGAACATCCTTCTTGTTTCAGGGCAGAGCAGGAGAACCGGGTCCTCGAGGGCTTCCAGGGCTGCCTGTAAGTGGGAGAGCTGTAGCTGCAGAGATGCTCTCCAGGCTGAAGTTGGGATGAAAGATAGTTGTGCCCAGTCTGGAGGAAACTTCATCCCCAGGGTGGTCATGGGGCAGAGAATGACCCAAACCCTGCATGGGTATCTGGCTGGTGACAAGTCAGGGACGGGGACAGCAGTGCCCTCCTGTCCCCACAGTGATGAGGCTCTGAGACCTGCAGGTGGCATCTTGCAGACCTTGTGGTGACCAAACTGATTAAGGCCACCAGCGTTCTCCTCCCTGGAGCTACACCCCACGCTGTGTTTTGAAGTGTCTAAGCAGCTTTTTTGGCCTTGCAGGGTGTTCCTGGCACACGGGGACAGGATGGTGTCCCTGGGAAGCCTGGCTCAGGAGGAGAAATGGGGGTTCCTGGAGTGGCTGGTGCTTCTGGTCCACCCGGGTACCCGGTGAGTGCAGATGTGGCTCCTTCAATTGATGCACAACCCAACCTCCTACCTCAGCTGTTTGCTGTCCACCAGCAGGACCCAGTGGTCCACCAGCAGGACCCAATGCTATTAAGGGAGGTCCTGAAACATCTGCAGGAAGAGAAGGAAAAGGGAAGCTGCTGCTTTGTGAAGAAGCTGCGAGTGGTGGTTTCTCTGCCCATGGGGACGTGGTGGGCTGGGGCCTCACTGCTGAGACAGACTGTTTGTTTTCAGGGTCGGGAAGGCCCAAATGGACCTGAAGGACCTTCAGGGATGAGAGGAGAGAAGGTAAGGGCAGAGAAGGTGAGTCTTGAGGGACAGGTAGAGCCATAGGGACATTCTTCTTGCCCAAAGTGGGGGTTTCCTCCCCTGGGCTGTAGCTACAAGCACATCTCCCAGTTTGGCCACTGGCTTTGCCCAGTGGGATGGGGATTTACATGTCCAGTGTGGGGTGGGAGAAGAACCTCTCCAGCTCTTCTGTGGGAGCCAGGGCATCAGGACATGCGGAGGACCTGCGTGGAGGACCACCACGGCTGCCTGTCCTAACGTCTGTGTGTCCTCTGGCAGGGTGGTGCAGGAGATCCTGGAGAAGTCGGCGTTGGTGGGCTGGATGGTGAGCAGGTACATCAGCTGAGGAACCCTGTCCTTCCCTGGGCTGGGGCTGCTCCAACCTGCTTCCCCCACCCTGTCTTCTCCAGGGATGGGAAATGAAGGGAGAAGGATGCTCATCCTCAGCTAAACCAGATGGTTGAAGCTGTGTCTGCGTTAGCTGAGACAAAGCTTTGAGCACTGTGGTGTAAACCAGCTGTTCTCTGTGTCTCCTCCCCAGGGACCACCAGGACCACCAGGAATGGAGGGTCAGCCAGGGCCCAAGGGTGAGCAGGTGGGTTCCAGCTGGGTGCTGGGGGAGATACCACTGGTACTGCTGGGCTCACCTTGTCCCACTGGTGCTGGGACAGGCACCTAAATCCATGTAGGGTTGTTTGAAATCCACCCCCCAGCCTGGGGATTTACCCTGCTGGGCATGGTAAGGGGGTGCAGGTACCCCCCAAAGCTTGGGGACCTGGTACGAGGGCAACTGGGGTCGCTGAATGGTGGAGAATGACAGAGGACAGAGCCAGGGGCAGCTGGAAAAGACATCCAAGAGTAACCCTGGACATCTTCACCCTGATCAGGGAGAGGCAGGACCCTGCGGAGCTCCAGGTGTCAGAGGGGACCTTGGGGAGCCAGGAGATGATGGGCCAGAGGGGCCATCAGGGAGACCTGGGGAGCATGGAAAGGAGGTACGTGTGCTGGTGGCATCACGGTGGCCACTGCTGTCTGCTGGTGGCCTCTGCCCAGGGGATGGGGACAGGAAAGGTGTGTCACTCAGCACGCTGGCTCTGGGTGATGCCCATGGTGTGGCTTTGCTGCAGACCACAGGCTGAGGTGCTCAGCTTCTAACCCACCCTGGGTTGGGGTTGAGGAGCAACTGCTCCATCTGATGCTGATATTTCCCCTCGGGGCAGGGTGACACTGGTGATGCTGGAGACCCAGGTGAGCCAGGACCTCAGGGACAGAAGGTGAGGAGTTCCTCCAGCCCTGTCCCTCCTTGCAGCACCTTGGGGACACTTGTTCCTACTCAGCCTCTGCTGCTCCGTTTGCCATGGGGGTGGGGGGGAAGAAACAGGACAGAGGTGTCCCCATGGCTGAGGACCACTGGAGATGCAGGGCTCAGACCTGGCATCAGCATCTCTCCTGAGCACCTCAGGGTGAACTTCTGAGTGTGGCACCCAGTGAGAGGTTGAAACACATCATCATCTCCATGGAGAAGCTCATGCAATTGCTATTCCTTTTTCTTCTTCATGGTGACACCTTTGTCTTCATCCCTGAGCAGGGTGATACTGGCCCCAGGGGCCTTCCTGGAGCACCTGGCCCAGGAGCTTCTACGGGGGAAATGGGAGGAAAAGGCCATAAAGGAGAGAAGGGCCAAGAAGGTTTGCTGGCAAGTACAGAGAGGGGCTTCCTCAGCCCATCGGGCTCCTCATGTCCCCACAGACTGGCTGTTGGGTCCTGGGTGCTGAGGAGGGGGCTGACCCACCACGGGAAGCTCCTTGAGCTCCAGGAGCTGCAGAAAATAATAGGAATTGGGAAATAATTGGGGGAGGGGGTTGTGTCTCATGGATATGACTCCAAAACTGGGTCTGGGTAGTGCTGCCTCTGGCCAAACCCATGTTGAGCAGATCTTCCTCTGTGTCCCAGGGTCAGGTTGGTGTCATTGGAGCTCTGGGACCTGCTGGAGCCAGAGGACGGTTTGTAAGTCAGCTCATGTTCCTCCTCCTATTTTGGCTGATCACAGACCTGGTGTGGTGGGCAGGGGGAGGTGGCTCTGACTGGGAGCACTGGGCAGGGGGTCCTTTAATTAATGGGGCTCCTTTGCTTGTGTCCTCACAGGGTGGGAGGGGTCTCCGAGGTCCTCCTGGGCTCGATGGTCCTGAGGGAGTGAAGGTACAATGGGGTGATGGCTCCAACCCTTCATCTCTGGGTGAAATGCCTTTTTCTGGTCTTTTCCCAAGCTCTACTTTCTGCTAATGGGGGGACATGGTGGGGTTGGCTGTGGGTGCTGGGTCAGACCTGGAGGACCTGCCATGGGACACTCCCTGCCTTGTTGCTCAAGATCCAAAGTCAGTGAGGCCAGGGAGGAGGTCTTTGCCAGAGATGGACCTGTTTCCCCTTTTTCCCCAGGGAGATCCAGGGCCACGAGGCGTGGATGGACCTACTGGTGCTGCTGGATTCGAGGTACTGGTGCCCAGGGTCTTGTAGAGCCAGGAGCAATCAAAGGCTTTCCCAGTACTTCACCATTTCCAACACAAACCAAAACCCAAAGGATTTATTGCCCTTTAACTGCCCAGGCCAGAGAGCTCAGGGGTGAGGAGGGGTTCTTAATGCTTCTCCTCTTGGCACTTGCATGTCCCCACCCCAAAAACCAGACCATTTCAGTCTGGCACCCAGGGATGCTTTGTAGAAGACCTGTTCCTGCTGTCACATCATCTTCACTTCCACACGGTGCCTGGGTGCTGCCTGGGCATGTGCCTTGGCCAGGTGACTGTGGTGTGTGAGGGAGAAGATGCTTAAAATACCTGCAAAGGGCCTGACCTGAAGCACCCAGTGGTGATGGGCTTATTCTAAATCCTCAACGTCACCACAGGGACTCACTGGAGATGATGGAGTCAAGGGAGAGAGTGGCAAACCTGGTCTGATGGTGAGTATCACCCCTGTCCCTGCAAAACTTCCCTGGGAAAGAGGTTTGGTGGCATCTTGTGCTGGAGCAGCAGAGCCTGGAGCTGTGTGTCACCCAGGGGTGAGCTCTGCCAGCCCAACCGTGTCTCCTGGTTCCTGCCCTGCAATGGTTTTGTGACCAGGACACTTGAGTCATCGTTTTCTGGGTTTCCCTAAAGCCAAAGCTCCCTAAAATCACCTGGTCTAGTGGAAGGTGTCCCTGCTGCTGGCAGGGCGGTTGGAACTGGATGAGCTTTAAGGTCCCTTCCAAACCAAACCAGTCTATGATTCTATTAAAAGCCGTGGAGGACTTTGTGGGATTATCACGTGGTTGTGGGGATCTGCTGAGGCAGGTCTGGGGTGTTTGGGCTTTTACCTTCCCACTGTCCTGCTTCCACAGAGCCAATCCCTGGGTGTCACTGTCAGGGTGCCAGAGCCCTGGGACAGGCTGCCCAGAGAGGGTGTGGAGTCTCCATCTCTGGAGATGTTCAAACCCACCTGGACACTTTCCTGTGTGACCAAAAATGGAGATGTTCCAAATCCACCTGGCCACTTTCCTGTGCAACCTGCTGTAGGGAACCTGCTCTGGCAGGGGGGTTGGACTGGATGATCTCCTGAGGTCACTTCCAACCCCACCATGCTGTGATTCTGTGACACAGGGACCCAGGATCCCCCCGCTGCCCTGAGCTGTCTGGTAGGGTGGTGGCCCCACCATGCACAGAAGTTAGTCCCTGACTATCCCATGTCCCTGTGCTGGGCTGCAGGATAAATCCCATTTGCATCCCAGTTTTCCCATGTTGTGGTGCTGCTCTGCCCAGACAAGATGTGTCCTTAACTCGGGTCACCACTGCCCTTACTGGGAGAGGCTGGGGATGTGGAATAAACTCCTGGGGGGTTTGCAAACCATCGCTCAGTGTGGTTGAAGGCACTTGAGGGGTGGCTGCTGGGACCCTGCTGAGATGGGATGGGGCTGGCGTATAACCAGTGTCCCCCTCTGATGTACCACAGGGTGCAGTGGGTGCCCGGGGGCCCATGGGTGCCCCTGGGCTCCAGGGCTACACTGGGCACGAAGGAGCCAGAGGAGCAGTGGGTGCCAAGGGAGAGCCAGGCCAGCAGGTAACTGCTCTCAGTGCCATGGGGACAGGGTGGGGACATCCCCACAGGGTGACCCTCCCTAGCACAGCTCCAGCATCAGCAGTCCCTGGGGCGGGGGGGACACACAACCCCTGTCCAGACCCCTGGGTGAGGCAGTGGCTTTGAACTCACCCTCCTGCCTTCCCCCAAATAACCTGGAGCTGCTGCCAGCCTTGTGTTTTGTCCCCAAATGAACTCAGGGTCCTCTCGGGCCACCAGGAGAAGCTGGAGCCATGGGGCTGAGCGGCACCCAGGTGAGTGGGCTCCTCTCTGCCCCACTTCTCTACCCCATCTTCCCCTTCTCCTCACACCCCAGGGCTGTGCCGCTCTGAGCCTGCCCAGGATTTGGGTCCATAACCCTGGAGCTGATTTTTTGGAGTTGAGTTGATGATTGTTTTCCTTCCCAGGGCCTGGTGGGTGCAAAAGGGGAACCAGGCAAGCCAGGAAAACCAGGGCAAATGGTGAGGAGTGGGATGGAGCCATCCTGGTTCTCCTTGGCACGTGTAGTAGGATGCTGGGATCTCCCCATCCCACATGGGCACCATCTCCTGCTCCCACTCAAACACCCCACAGCTCCACTCTGCCAACCCAGAGAGGGGCAAGGATCCCAAATGGAGATGTCAGTGCAGAGCATCCTCCTGCACACGCTGTGGAGAGAGCGGGGAGGGAGGCCAGGAGGAGGGGACATCCCTGGGAGGGAGGCCAGGAGGAGGGGACATCCCTGGGAGGGAGGCCAGGAGCAGGGGACATCCCTGGGAGGGAGGCCAGGAGCAGGGGACATCCCAGGGAGGGAGGCCAGGAGCAGGGGACATCCCAGGGAGGAAGACCAGGAGGAGGGGACATCCCTGGCACAGCATCCTCATGGAGGGATTTCCTTCTCCTTTGGGATTTTAGGGGTCTCCAGGAAAAGCTGGTCCTAAAGGCTGGAAAGGTCGTAAAGGAGAAAAGGTACCTTGGGGAATGGTCCTCTGTGGGTGGGGTCTGATGGGGACCATCAGCACTGGCCATGGGGTGGCCAACCTGAGCTGGTCAACCTTGTTATGGTCTGTGGAGAGAAACCAGGGGGATTGGCTCTGGGGGGACCTGTTTCTCCCCACTGGAAAGGCAACCACAGAGCCCTTGGATGCCCGTGGGCTGCCTTGGCTGGTTTTTGGTTGAGGAGATGGCAGGTCTCCTCAGCTCAGCCCCCACCCCAGCCCCACAGGGCTGCCTCCATCCTGGCTTAGATGCCCTTGGACGGGGGGACAGGGGACATCCCCTTCTCTTGGCCTTGGTGTCCATCCCTGGGGTCCCACAGCACCTGGTGAGCTCTGTCCCCATCTCCACGCAGGCAGCAGCCCCTTTTCCTCACTCCTGCTCTGGGATATGGCCGGGCTGCTGGTGACCCACATCTCCCATCTCTCCTTCCCCAGGGCGATGTGGGGCGTGAAGGGGAAGAAGGGGTCCCTGGAGAAGCTGGCAGACGGGTAAGTGGCACCATTGTCCCCATGGAGGGTGGCGGGAGGCTTGGGGCTCATCCTTGGAGCCTGTGGAGGTCTGGCAGAGGGGTCCTGGGGGCTCAGCACCCCTGGGGGGGCATTGAGGGGGACATGGGGCAGCTGGGTTAGTGCCTTTAGCCTGGAATTGGTGGTGAATCTTTCATCTGTTCCCAGGGCAAGCGAGGCAAGGCGGGCCACCGGCCCCCGAGAGGTCCCCGGGGACACAAGGTAGGTTGGCTTTGCCAAAGGTTCTCCCACTTCCCCAAGCCCTTGGCTTAGAAAAGTCCAAGCCAATATAGGGACATCGTGTAGCTGGAGTGCTCTGTGTCCCCAGCCCCTTGCAGCCCAAGGCAGGGGGTCTCCCACACCCCCAACCCCCATGGGCTGCTCTCCCTGTGAGAGGCACCAGGACATGGTTCTCACCATGCTGCTGGCCACACCAACCAGGTTCTCCTGCTTCTTGCATTTCAGGGCTACCCAGGTGACAAAGGGCTGGAAGGACCTCAGGGCCCCCAAGGACCTTATGTGAGTATTAGCTGGGGGGGTTCTGGGGTGCTGGCTGTGCCCCATTGAGTTCCCATGGGTATCCCCAGACAACCACAGCAGAGCCCCACCTAAGTTTCTAGGTGTTTTCATCCATCCCTTGGTCATCCATCTCATCTTGCCTTCTCCTCCCAGATCAGCATCCCACGTGCAGTCACACACATCATATAATGTCCAATATGTTGGTCCAGAGGCCAAATTCTTCCCTTCCAGTTGGTGCCTGGCAGTGCTGAGTGTTTGCAGAGGATTGTCCCCATGGTCCCAGCGAGCTGCCATGGCTGGAGAGACCCAGCTGGCCAAAAAAAACCTACTCAATTCTATTTTTTTGGTAATTACTAGAAATTGATTTTTTTTTCTCTATTTAAAATAAAAATCCTGGCTTTGGAAACTTCACAAACCAAAGCTGAGATGTTCTGCAACCAACCAGGGAACCTGCAGTGGATTTTTAATGAGATTTACTGAGGGAACCTCCTGAAAGAAAAAAAAACCCCCAAAACCCAAAGATTTGATGAGAAATGACTCAAAGTTTCAAAAACTGCCCCAAATTCTCCGAATCCTGGCAGAAAAGTGGGTTGTGGTGAGGTCCCTTCTTGTTGGGGAGCTGACAGGAGCAGCTCAGCAGCAGGGTGACACGGTGACATGGGGTGATGCATCGATTCTCTCTTAGGGCATCCCAGGGCTGAAGGGTGTGAAAGGAAACCCTGGACCCAAAGGACACAAGGTGGGTGACATGTAGCAGGTTCTGGAGCCCTGGGCATTTAATTTCATAGAATTTCATAGAATGGTTTGGATTGGAAGGGACCTTCAAGCTCATCCAGTTCCAACCCCCCTGCCAGCAGCAGGGACACCTTCCACTAGACCAGGTTGCTCAAAGCCTCACCCAACCTGGCCGAGAACTCTCCCAGGGAGGAGCAGCCACAGCTTCCTTGGGCAGGATATTTGCTGGATGTAATCCTTTATTCCACTCTTCTTGAACCTTGGTGGTGGTATCCTTCATTGGGAGTTGACCACTGTGTCCCCAGGTGCTGGGACATGGGACCTTTAGACTCTCCAAAGCCAGGTCGTTTTCACACAATCCCAGAATGACCTCGAATGGAAAATACCTTTACGATCATCGAGTCCAACCATGAACCCAACACTGACCAGTCCCCGACTAACCCATGTCCCTCAGCACTGTGTCTACACGACTCTTCAATCCCTCCAGGGATGGGGACTCCACCACTGCCCTGGGCAACCCCTTCCAATGCCTCAGAACCCTTTCAGCAAAGAAATTCTTCCTCACATCCCATCTCAACTGCCCTGGCCACAACTGGAGCCCATTTCCTCTTGTCCTGTCCCTTGGGCCTTGGTTGAACAGACCCACCCCCACCTCTCTCCACCCTCCTGGTGTCACAAGCAGCAGCACCAGACAGTTTTAATCCCCTTCTGCTGACTCAGCACGATCTCATACATCCTCTGTGTCATCACTGATGTGCTGATGGATCCAGCCTTGGCCTGAGCAGCCACCCACCCCCTCACGCTCCCATCCATCAGTTCCTGGCTGTGGGGAGCTGCTCACAGCCTGCAGGAGAATAAAACCTTGGTAATAAATCAAGTTTTCAGTTTATTGGGAGATAAAGGAGCAGGGGCAGAGGTTAAAGTCCAGGGTGTTCAGCAAGCTCAGAGCTGGGGAGAGCAGGAGAGCAGCAGCTGGGCTGGAGTTCCTTCCCCTGCTCCACCAGATTTCACCACATGAGAAATAGTCTTTATTTTTTTCCATGTGTTTCCTGGGAACTTTGGAGGTTTTTCTTGAATGATTTTTTATTTTGTTTTGTTTTGTTTTATTTTGTTTTGTTTTGGTTTGTTTTATTTTATTTTGGTTTGGTTTGTTTTGTTTTTGGTTTGGTTTGGTTTATTTTATTTTATTTTATCTTGTTTTGTTTTATTTTATTTTGGTTTAATTTGGTTTATTTTATTTTGTTTTGTTTTATTTTGCT